TCCAGATGCTGCTGCCTGCATCCTCACTAGAACTATAAAAAGTAGATCAGAGCTGCAGCTGTTCCAGATGCTGCTGCCTGCATCCTCACTAGAACTATAAAAAGTAGATCAGAGCTGCAGCTGATCCAGATGCTGCTGCCTGCGTCCTCACTAGAACTATAGAAAGTAGATCAGACAGCTGCGGCTGATCCAGATGCTGCTTCATGGCTTGGACTCAATTGGCTTTGTTCAAAATGTGAATAGTCCCACACATTCTAATCTTCATACTGTGGATCTTGTGCTGACATGTGGCATAGAATGTGAAGAAATAACAGTATTTCCTCACAACCCTGTCCACTCTGATCACTTTTTAATAACCTTCATGATTCCTTCAACAGAGTTCTCCTCCCTCAAAAGAAGGTTTCACTTTAGCAGATAATCATCAGATAATGCAGTTATACATTTTTAAGAATCTGTGCCAATTTTCTAGTCTGGAAAAATAGTTTACTGCTGTATAAGAGGACACTTTTTAAAACAAGGGCAGCATATTTCTACTCATTCATAGAGGAGAATAAGAATAATGCTAGAGATCTTTTTAATGTAGGCCCAGGCCCAAACCGGCCCCTAAGCACTACCACCCTTAAGCAAACCCTTTGCGCTTTCCCGTGGAGGGTCCGCCACATCAAGTGCCGTCCCAAACCCTACAGTGGGTAGGGCCAGTGGACCGTTCAGCCCTTAAATATTGAGTCTGCAAGTTCAAGCTCGCTGGAATTTGGCAGCAAGTGTAACAGCAGTCTGATGGCGGATGAAACACGTTCTGCCAAATGTAAATTCCACTTGTTTCTCTGCATCTTTGTCTAACTGACAGGAAATCACAAGTTAGGTATAAGAAAAAAAAAAGATTAAATCCACAATGGAAGGTCCTCTTTGACATAGTTTTATTTGACCATATAATTTGTTTTAAGAAAGGGGCAAATATTTAATGTTATGTTAACCTGCTCCACAATGCTACAGCCGGGCACATGGGGCATCACTGTGTTGCCATAGCAATGACAGCTTTCCTTTTCCATTGGAGGGATGAGCCCGTCACATCCAGTTATCTCAGATGATACGATGTGAATTGGTGTTATAGAAATAAACTGAACTGAAATAAACTGCCTTACCATAGTGGCCTAAACAAACCCATACCATGTGTGGAAGAAAATCCACTGCCTGCATTATACTGCACTACAAAACTGTTGCATGTCTACTCATCCAAACCACAGTATTCACTAATCTTCTTATCAATGGTGTGAAAAAGGACATCGGAAATTTGAGGGTTAATCCAGTGAGTTCAACTGGAATCACTGGAACAAGTTAGCACAACACGGTTTGGATAGAGCTGAATCGGACCTCCCAATCTTCATCTTTCCAAACAGACCAGAAAATTCTGATGGTGGACGACCACAATCATATCTACGTCCGTAGCTCATTATAAACGAGTCAAGTTAAAGGCAGCTGCACCTGTGCTGCCTGTTTCCAACAGGCCCTGACCTTTGGTCTGCACCTCCAGCTCTTCTACCTTCCTCTTCAGGTCAGAGTTCTGCTCTGTGAGCACATCCCTCCTCAGCTCGTCTAGCCGATGGCCAACCGTCACCCGCAGCTCATCTAGGCTCTGCCTCTGCCGCTCTGTCACCACCTCCCCATCTCTTAGCCGACTCTCCACACTCCGAAGTTCTTGTCGTCGTTCCACTTCCTCCCCCTTCAGACTGAGGACCAGCTTCTTGAGGCCCTGCAGTTCATCCCAGAGGATGTGAAGGTCTCCAATATTCATGGCGGGAAAATCCACGGGAGCAGAGACCTCAGACCGACTACCGCTGACAGAGCAGCAGACCATCATCAGGAAAAGGGCAGTAGACCTCATGATGAAGCAAAGACCTGCAGCTTAGCCATTCAGCAGCTTTAATATAGTAATCTACAGGGAGAACATTCCAGAGTGGAGAGAGAGGGGTTCACATAATCCCTCTGCTCTGGCCATGGAAACAATAACAAAAAGAGAACATTAAGTCTAAATAAACATTTTATAATGTTTATAACTGGAATAATAAAAGTCTTGAAGTTTCTCAAGAATGACACAAAGCAAAAACCATCTAGAAATGAAATCAAAGTGTCTTAAATCAAGTGTATGTACCCTTAGTGAGTAAATAAATAAGATAATATGCACCAGGGCAATGTAATTGCAAAGTGTCTCAATTATCTCCTCAATTCAAGAAAACTAATTTTAAGAAAAAAACTTTTATTTAGATTCTGGACACGTTCTGAAAGCCACCTCCTGTCCTCAGATCATCATCTAACAACATCCTATATGGTGGCGCCTAACAGGTGGTGCCATGTTCTTCTGTGCTTCGATTGATATGCTAGAATCAATCCGTTTTATCTGGTTTGGCAAAACAGTTGCTTTCCACTCAGCTCATCAGTACCAACCTCTCAAAAAAAAACTAAACTAATTCTCTTATATAGGCCTCTTGCTTTGGTAGTCTCCTGTCTTTTAACATCCTGTGATGGCCACACATCAAAAGCCAGGACCATGCGTGCACCTTCACCTTGATTTATTAATCCGTATACATATACTTTAGCTTGCAATAAAACTTTGTTAGTGAAAATTGGTGATGTTATGAGATGAGCCCAGGCTTTGAGGCATGTGTCAAGTACTGGAGGGGGAGATTCACTGAGGCGCATATAGAGGCTTGCTTCATTAGGGGGAGGAGCCAAAATAGATGACATCTGAAGCTTCACTACCCCACCATACCCAGGGCTGTTTCTCAATTCACTAGAACGCAAGTACGGACTTACTAGATGATGCTTTTGTTTTGTAGTGTTTGTTGTATTTCTCATTTGAAAAAGTCATGAAATATGTTGCAGGTTATATTGATGGAGAAAAAAGCGACTCAAACATTTGACCCACATTGAATTTATTGTGATGGATTTGTATGTTATATTACATGATTTATAGACTTCATAATGACTGCGCAATGTGATGGGCCTATTTTCTTTTTATAATAAGTAAAAGAAATCTACTGATGCTATGAAACAGCCAGTGTTTGTCAAAGTGATGAATTTATCTTTATGTTAAAAGTCTTAAGTCCCCCTGAAAATGAGAACATCATCATTGTTCGATGCTGTAGCGCACAGATTGTTTACATTGCGACCAATCTAACTAGGGAGTACCAATATGGTGGCCGGTGGCCTTACTTCACCCCCGTACTACCAACGGCCAATCTGCAATCCAGGGAATAAATAGAGATCAGTTATTATCTCAGGCAGAGCTCTCTCTGCTTTTAACCCATGAAATCTTTCCCTGTGAGTCGCTCCATCCACACAGAGGTGTGTTGCTGGCTGCGCCCCCTGCAGGCCTGATCTGGGATCACATAGCTCCACACTTTCACAGCCATCCAGGAAAATTCTTTTATTGAGGCCAAAAACGGATGGTTTTAGGTTCTGAACGAGTCCCTCATAGTCCGATCTGTGCATCTGACACATGATGGAGACAATACTGACAGATAGATCCAAAACAACCAGAACCTGAGCATTTCCACGTAGCACTCAGAACTCCCCCGATCCGAGTCCAAGTCCCAGTCCCCATCCAGCAGTCGGGTTACGATACAACAGGAGGTTAAAAACAATCCAGCTTCATCCAGAGCTTCCCAGACTGGGATCAGCGCTGGCCCGTGTAAGCTCGGAACCAGGAGGTGACCGAAGCAGCCGCAGATGAAATCATCCCTCCGGGGTTCCCTGACGGCTGGGAAACCTGCAGAGCACTCTGGGAAAGATCCATGGACTGCAGAGGGAGAAAGGAGAGAGAGGTCATGGTC